ATCTAGTCAAATATTATTTACTGTCATCATGGCAAAGATAAAATAAATCAGTTATTAGAGATGAGTTATTAAAACTATTATGTTTAGAAATGTGTTGGAAAAAAAATCTGCTCTCCGTTAAACAGAAAATGGGGAAAAAAAATAAACAGGGGGGCTAATAAATTTGACTTCAACTGTATATCAGGGTGTCTGCCGGGTCTTAAAAAACTATTAAAAGTTGAGAAATGAATGTTGAGAAATGTAAGGCTCTTAAAAAGTATTTAAAAGTCTTAAATGCTATTTTGCAATGTATTAAATTTTATATCTTTTTTGATTATGCAGTGTATGGTTGTCTGCTAAAGTTAAATCTACCAAATCTGCCAATATCAGGATGCTGTGTAGTTTATGAAATCAATGAAATCCTACTTGATTTGACATCATGCTGCTTTGTTACTGCAGTAACCAAGGCACTACCAATTATTTCTGCAGGTCTATAGGCACCAACCTGCTGAATTAGCTCGATTTAATTGATTTTTATTCAGTTTATAAATAATGTTTTAGTTTTGGATTAGTTTCATACATTAATATTTAGTAAATATACTGTAAGTTACAATCTCGCCAGTGTTTCTGGTTAAACCTTTAATGATGGATTAATGATAGAAACACACACACACACACACACACACACACACACACACACACACACACACACACACACACACACTGCTGCAGGTACACACACACACACACACACACACACACACACACACACACACACACACACACACACAATAGAGACATCAGAGACTTATTTTATATGGGAAGAGGACATATTAGGCCCCCTTTATTTCTATTCCTAGTCTATTATTGGAGATTTATCAGTGCACAGGCTTCCAATGAATAATAAAGTGTGTCGAATTCTGCATGAAAGTCTGAAGCTGTTCTCTTGCTCATCTGACATGGTTTGGACTGCGCGCGCGCGCTGTTGGTCAAAGTGATGCTGTTTTAATGCTTGCTTTAAAAGTAAGGCATGTCATTATCCAGTGATTTAATGCTGATTAGATGCAGTTGCTGTGCTTGAGACTGTATTTTAGCCATCGGTTTACTGCTGATAGCCACAGTAGACATTTAGAGATGATTTAGTCAGTGCATTGTGGTTTTTATTGTTCACAGTTGGTAGTTTTGATTGCTGTGGTAAACAGGATCGCATTGTTGCTCTGTGGAAAGGCATTTTTCAGATCTCGGGTTTCAGTCGCTATTGTTTTACTTATATTTGACTTGTTTACTGTTTGTGTTATCGTCTGGTATTGGACATTTTGGTAATTATTGGCATCAGATACCATAATTCCATTTCAAAACTGATCACTTTTTTACTTGATTAATGCATGTCTTGTATTGTAAAGCTTGTGTTTTTTTCATTTCTACATGCAAACTACTGTCTTTTGCATACGCAATAATGGCTAATGCTGTAATGAAGCTCCCTTTAATATACAGTTGTTGACTTCATTGTAACTCCTAATGCTTATGTGTAATTATCATATTTGGATGCTCCTAAATATCCAATATATCAGCCCATATTTGACATGGTTTCATCATATATTATTGGAATCATCATTACATTTTCGGAGGTTTTACCGTGTTGTGTTTAAGTGTGTGTGTGTGTTTAAGTTTGAGGAGGTTTCAGCATGTGGTGTTTCTGCGTGTGAGGCACTTTCTTCGTGACTTGTTTGTGTGTGTGATTGGTGTGTATATAGTTGTTTGTATTCGTATTTGCGTGTGTGCGTGCATCTGCATGTGTGTATAGTGTGTGTGTGTGTGTGTGTGTCTATGTGGGTGTATAAGGGCATGTGTGTGTTGGTAGCATGTGTGTAATTGTGCTTCTGTATA